TTCACTGCACATCAGAAGACATGACCAAAATGGACTTTGAAAGCTTCATTTCTGAAGCTCAATGTTCAATATTTATGAAAAATTGTGTCTTATTCCCCAGGACTTCAAAAACGCTTGACAGGGCTTCCCTGGTGGCACAGTGGTTAAGAATCCACCTGTCAATGCAGGGGACACAGGTTCAAGCCCTAGTGCGGGAAGATCCCACCTGCTGCGGAGCGACTAAGTCCCTGTGCTACAACTACTGAGCCTGCACTCTAGAGTCTGCGAGCCACAACTACTGAGCCTGCGTGCCTAGAGCCTGTGCTCTGCAACAAGAGAAGCCACCACAAGGAGAAGCCTGAGCACCACAACAAAGAGTAGCCCCCGCTCGCTGCAACTAAAGAAAGCCAGCGTGCAGCAACAAAGACCCAACGCAGCCAAAAATAAAAATAAATAAAAAAATTTTTTAAATGACAATCATGAAGCTGCACAATATAAACATTTAAAGAACTAGACCAATGATGCTAGAAAACAAAGGAGATGTTCATAAATTCAGCATTATTAACATGCAACATTAATGTAAATAATTTAAATATCCACTGGGGAATGAACATGTAGATACAATTTCAAATGTTATATGTTGATGTCAGGAAAATGAGTGAACTTTGAACTTCTGCCAAAAGTCATTTGAGAAAGAAAAGTTTTTTAAGGGAATCACATTAGAAAGAAAGAGATAAATGACACCTTTAAACCAATTACCATTAGTCTCAGATATACCACAGGAGACCCTTTCCTCAAATTCTTTCAAGGCAATAGAAAGATAATCATAGCAGGTGCTAATCCAAGACTCCAGTAACTTCTCTACCTCACTAATTATGTGGCAACTGAAAGAATAACTTGGCATACTGAAACGCTGGTTAAATCCGTCTATCTGCCAATTCCATTCCTACACCGAGAAGTTAAATGTGGCTTAGAGAAAACACACATCCACGATGCCTGGCTTCACTTTAAATGCATGGCTTGGTTTCAGCTGGGTCCTTGGTGCTGCCTGGCAATGCTACCATCTTCTCCAGTTGACTCACTCTCCCCATCTACATGGCAATTCCGCATTTTCTCCTCTCATCTCGAACATTAATAGCACTTAGCCCCATCACCACTCTCTGCTGCTGAGAAAAAATGAAAGCCACCAGAAAAAAACTCCCAAGGGTACCCCTTCTACCCATCTACGTGGATCTATAGCCAAGCACCCTGCCTTCCCTCTTGTTATTATGAACAAATGGTCCAAGCTCCTACTGAAGCTCATACAACCCAATACCACTGTCTCCCACTTGATCAAATAAACTACTCCAGCGCTCTCTCTTAAATCCACAGCTTGCTCTCTGCTGTATGATATTCATCATGATAGAAATACACTGTCCTTTCTGCATTAAAAAAAAATATCTTGAGCCCACATCCCTCTCTAAACATAGTCCCATTTCTCTATTCCCTTTTATCACAAAGGACCTCATAACAATGGTCTGGACTTCCTGTCTCTAATTCTTCTCTTCCTGTTTTCCTTGAACCCACTCTACAAGCTTTTGCCCCTACGCTCCACCAAAACCACCCTGGTCAAGGTTACCAGTAACCTCCACATACCTTAATTCAATGGTCAACTCTCGGAATTCATCTTACACAACTCACATTAGCAGAATTTGATACCGCTCATCATACCCTCCTCCTTCAAATGCCTTCTTCACCTGGCTTTGAGGATACCATGCTCTCTTGTTTTTTCTTCAGTCTCACTAATTATACTCTCTGTTGCCTTTGCTGGTTATTCCTCATTGTCCTGACCTCTTAATGTTGGAGGGTTCCCGGACTCAGTCCTTGAACCTCTGCTCTTTTCTATCTATGCTCTCTCCCTAAGGAATCTCATCCTCAATCTTGGCTTTAAATACAATTTATTCACTGATGACTCCCTAATTTATGTCTCCAGGTTTAGTCCACTCCCTCACCTCTCAACCCCTGTAACTCTAATTGCTCACTGACATTTTCGTTTGGATATGTAATAGGCATCTTGACACATCAAAAAAATAAGCTCTTGATCTTTACCATATGGCTGACATTACAAGTGTTCATCAACGTCCAGCTCCCCTCCCCTTCAGGGCACAAGAATGACAACCCATGATAAGACCACATGACTTGTTCTGGCCAATGTAATGTGAGCAGAAGTGCCATATGTTATCTCCAGCCTGGACATGATAAGGCCATTGTGATTCTCCAATCTCTCTCCTTCCGTGCTGTGGCAACTGAAAATGTTTTGTGTTCCATCCAGATGGTGTACTTCAAGACGTGGAGCCAACCAGGCTTCCTTAGTGATGGCAAAGACCTTCCCACTGACCAACATGGAACAGGTACCATTAACAAGAAATAAACTTATATGCTTAACAAGCCATTGAGATTTTGGAGTTCTTAGTTATCACAGTATAGCCATGCCTACCCAGACTAAATACCCCCCAAAAGTGGCTCTCACGTAGTGGTCTTTTCCATCTCAGCAAACTCCATCCTTTCAGCTGCCCAGTCAAAAACCTGAAGTCATTCTTGACCCCTTTCTTTCTCTCATACCCCACATCCAATTCATCAGCATACCCTGCGCCTTCAAAATACATACAGAATCCAACCACCCTTTACTTTTTCCACTACCACTCTGCTCTTCAAAAGACACTGATAAGAACATGAAAAGACAAACACAAAATGGGAGAAAACACTTTAAAAGCATATAGATAAAATGAAGGGCTTGTATCCAGAATATATAAAACTCTCCAAGCTCATCAATAAGAAAACAAAACACCCAATTTTTTAAAAAACAAAATTTTAATAGACATTTCCCCAAGAAAGGCATGGATAGCAAATAAACACATGGAAAGATAAGAATGCTCACCACTATTAGTCACTGGAAAATGCAAATTAAATTAAAACCACAATGAGATACAACTACATACATATTAGAATGGCTAAAATTAAAAAGAATGACAATACCAAGTATTGATGAGACGTAGAACACAGCAATTCTCATATATTGCTATTTAAAATGTAAAATGATACAACCGCTTTGGAAAATATTTTGGCAATTTCTAAAAAGTTAACCATACACTGGTGGTAAAAGAAGAGTGTTTATATATTGACAGATATGGTCCACTCCAGAAGCTGTTTATAGATGACTTATATTTATTGGTGATTCTTCCCTTGGCTGAAAGGTGCTAAAACATACACCTATTAGATGATCCAGCCATTCCACTCCTAAGTATTCTCAAAAGAAAGAAAGTATATGTCCACTTAAAGATTTGTACACAAATGTTCATAGCCCAAAAGTGGAAACTACCCAAATGTCCATCACCAAGTGAATGGATAGTCAAATTGTGGCATATTCATACAAAATACTACTATTCAGCAATAAAAAGGACTGAATTACTAATACACACAATATAGATGAATCTCAAAATAATTATGCTGAGTAAGAGAAGAAAAGGAGTACACACTGTGTGATTCCGTTACAGTAAGTCCCCTACATACAAACGAGTTCCATTCCAAGAGCGCATTCGTAAGTCCATTTGTTGGTAAGTCCAACAAAGTTAGCCTAGGTACCCAACTAACACAATCAGCTATATAGTACTGTACTGTAATAGGTTTATGATACTTTTCACACAAATAGTACATAAAAAACAAACACAAAAAATAAAGAAAACATTTTTAATTTACACTACAGTACCTTGAAAAGTACAATAGTACAGTACAACAGCTGGCATACAGGGGTTGGCATCGAGTAAACAGGCAAGAAGGGTTACTGACTGGAGGAGGGAGAGGAGGTGGGAGAGGATAGAGCTGTCAGCGATAGGAGACGGAGAGCAAGGTGCAATTTCACTCATGCCTGACATCGATGGAACACACGTTCGCATCTTTGAAAGTTCGCAACTTGAAGGTTCGTATGTAGGGAACTTACTGTATATAAAACTCTAGAAGATGCAAACATCTATAGTAACAGAAAACAGATCAGAGGTTTCCTGGGGAAGACGACAGGAGGGAGGGATTACACAGCGGTACAAGGAAACTTTTGGGGGTGATGAACACGTTCACTATCTCAATTGTGTTGATGATTTCCCAAGGCATACATATGTCAAAATGTTAAATTGTTTTAATTTGTTCAGTTTATTGTATGTCGATGATACTTCAATTAACTTTTTTTTAAAAGGAATATAGCAGGTACTGAATAAAGTAAATAAAGATGAAAACAGATGCAAAGAAAGCAAAATCCTAAGAACGAATTGCAGTGGGAACATTTATATCCTCCCTCATTCTATAGTATTCTTTTCTGAATGATCAAATATTAGTGGAAAAGGAGGAATAAGCTACTACAAAGCAGAGTCCCTCAGTATAAAGTCGTAGGGTCTTTCAGCCAAGAAAAACCACCTATAAGTAGCTCCCGAAATGGACAACTGCCACCCCAATATACAAGCACTCTCCTTTGGCCACAGTTTCCTAGTAGTTGAATAATTTCTTTGAATTCATCTTAGAAACCTGGCCTAATTTCTCCTTTTTTATATCATCTTCATTTGCCATTAAACTTATATTGACCCTTTTCCCATGAATTAATTTGCTACAAATTTTTTAAGAACTAAGGAATGGCCATGGCAGGTGTCCTCAGTTGATGAGTCTTGGATGTAAAAGTTCCTTGCCTTGGACTCACTGTCTTCTGTCTCCTCATTTCCCACTGAGGTAGAAAAATCACCATCTCTATTTCATTCACCTCCCTTGCTCTTCTCTTTGAAATCCTAAATTTCATTCATTATTGTCAATTTTAGCATCATCCTAAACATGAATTCACCCACTTCTTTCATAAGCTGCTATGGTTATATGTTTTCTGTGACATGACTCCATCATAGAATAGAATAGAATAGAATAGAATAGAATAGAATAAAATAAAATAAAATATAAAATAAGAGCATAGCACCCACTTATGTTTAAACAAAGTTAGCCCTGTGACTTACCTCATTTCCACCAACTGCCTTGGTTAAAATCACTGCAGAAGACACAGGGGGAGGCATGCAACCTACTGTCTGCAACCTGAAAAAGAAAAAAATAAGCAACTATAAGTAGGCTTTTGTTATCAATTATAAATAGTTTTCACTATATTCATTCTAAAATAGCAGAGCTGAGTAAATGAAAATAGGAGAATGTTTACTGATGCACATGCCCTTTTGAGTTTAGACAATTCTATATGAGGCAACGTGGCTTAATAGAAGCTCTCACTCCATTCCACAGACTTGGGTGATTTTATTTTTTAAATTATTTAAGGTCTTATACAATTCAAAAAACAGTCAGGTTATGGTGAGTGTAGTCATTGCAAGATAACCAAAATGGTTAATCATTTGGCAAGTGTATATAGTCAGTTATTTTCAGGTATCTTTTCCTTACATTTTTTATAGGAAGGTTTTTGGCAAAAATAAAACTTTAAAACCTCTTGCAGATTCTTTTCCACATAACAGCAGTTCTCAAACTTTCATCTCATAAAAGACATTTTCATGCTGTTGTAATATCATTATAAAAATAGGCATGACACAATCATGTACTTCTTAGATTCAGACCCTATAGTAAATTCTAGTGTCTATTCTAAATTTGGTTTTTATTAAACTATGTGTATACTCCCAAGATCGTGACAAGAATTCTATTCTCTTAGTTTAGAATAGAAAACACATTGCATGACAAGCAAATGAAATTATGAGTAGTAAATCCAAGTATTAAAGATAAAAAACATTCCTCAGCATTCATACAGAATATATATTCTGGGGACAAAGCCCAACTAAAGTGGAAAGTTTATACAAGGAATCAAGGACACAGAGTATCTGACTAATATTTTGAATGTAGGATCACAGGTCATTTTTATTCACTTTTGTAATAATATATTGTCTAATCTTTATGCAATGAATTTATATTGGCTCTGAAGTAAGAAAAAATAAAAAGTTTTCATTAATTTTTGACTGAAAACTTAAGAAAAAACCTTATAGGGAACTTCCAGTTCAATTCACTTTAACATGGTCTTCTTTTAAGGTCTGTTTTCCCAAGTGATGCTGAAGTAGTCTGTCTGATTAAGAATTCCCAATCTCTGAGCCTTCCTTGTAATCATTACCATCAACATCACTAATATTACTGAGATTTTACCATCTGTAGTAGATACTGTTCTAGACACTTTACTCATTTATCCCTCACAAGTATTTAAGATAAATACTATTATTATTCTCATTTTTACAAAAACTGAAGTTAAGACAGGAGTTAAATATATGACCAAACTCACAAAATCACCTATCTTGGGTTAAACTTTCATTCTGTAATCCAGGGCCAAAGCCTTACCAAGGCCACCCGTCCAGGCTCTCTGCCTTCTGGCTTCTCTACCACCAATACAAGGAACAGGTCCTCTCAGGTATTTTCAATCGAACTTTTTCAAACTTTCCCTCTCATCTGGCCTCTTCCCCTCTATGTACAAAGAAGGAGAGTTCTCCGTATCTTAAAAAAAAATCTCTAAGATATATACTGAATACACATACTTTCTACAGGTAGGACACTACACAAGGGTATAAAAAAAAAGTATAAGACATCATTCCTGCCTTCAAGGAGGCAGAATATTCAACACACAAATGTAGATAACTAACCTCAAAATTAGTACTGTTGCCTCCTCAGGATGTAATAATACTTTTTCCACTGTGGCTCACTGTTGTGCTCTACCTCCAAGACCCCAAAGCTCATTCCCTCTTTACTCCCCTGGAATCTGACTTATGCCCCTTCTAGTAAAAGCAGTAACCTTATAAGTAACCAGCAATCTCCCAATCACCAAATCCAACATCCTTTTCCCTGTATTCATTCTCCTTTCCTCCTTGCTTCTCAAAGCACTCTATTCTCTTGGTTGCCATAGTACAGTATCATTCTAATTTATCTCCTGTCTTTTAAACCAGCCCATTCAAGTATTTTCCTGTCTTCTTCTCAATCTTATTTGCAAATCTGAATCTATATGAATACTTACAAATTTCTATTGCTAACCCTAACCTCCATTCCCAAATCCGTAGCTGTCTATGACTGCCACCATAAACAAAACATGTCTAATGTTGAATTTATGTATTTTCTAAGAAATCAATTTTGCCTCTCAATTAACCTATTTCTTCCAATGGGACAGCTTTTTTCCTAATGATCCAGTCTGAAACTTTGGAGTTAAGTGGAGCTCCACTCACTCTTCACAAACCAAACAATCGCCACAACCAACTTTCCATTCTTTTCCATGACTACTGTCATCATCCCCCTTCAGATGCTTTTCGCCCAAGTCTGGACATTTCTAAATGCCTACTCAGTGCTCTCTCTACCTTCACTCTTTCCCTTTAACACAGCAAGGTAAGGAGTGTGCGCTCAGAATACATTTATCTCAGTGATTTAAACAGGACCTTGATGTAGAAGTTGGCAATTCCCTCCAGTTAACATACTAAGTGTGTACTCTCAAATTGGGAGGGGAAGGGAGAAAAAGTGAGTGAGGAAGAGCTTTCTCTAAGTGAGGTAGACTAAGTTTGTACTCCGTTAAGTTTAATATCCTGAGCTGAGAATTGTATGCTTTTTTTTTATTTAGCATACTGTGATTACAAACTCTACTCTGCTCTGCTTATATACCCAGGACAGTACTATCAGACAATCTTCTTTAATGACCATTTTCTAGCATGTTGTTCTCTTGTTTAGCACATTTAAGAACCCTGCATCATCTACAGATTCAAACTCAAACTCCTCAGCCCAGCAGTTCCAGTCTTGCAACTTGGCCTTAAGGAAGCTTTTTATCTTTGTCTCCCACTAATGCCTCATGTTTGAATTCTCTTCTTTAGGAGTACACAACCCTTGCTGCACCTCTTCCCCTTTAACTGATTACACCACTTATCTAACAAATCATATGCTGCCCCATTTTATTGGTTACTGTTTTATATATCTGTATATATATCCTACATATCCAACTAAATTGGAAGTTCCCTGAATACAATGAAAATGAGTTAATATATTCCAATTTCTTGAGTGCTCTCTACAGGGCAGATAGTTGGTAAATACTGGTTCTCTATATGCATCATACCTTGTTGCTCTAAAATGATGTCATCACATTTATGTAGCATTTTATGCTTTCTGGTGAAATTTTATGTTCATTCTCTCAAACTCGACCTGGCCAAAACAGCACTCTTGATTTCCTGCTCTCGTCCCAACCTATTTCTCCCCCAGCTAAGAAAATGATGCCGCCAATCGGCCAGTGGCTCATACCCCGAATCCAGACTCCTCCCTGTCCTCTCTCCACAACCTATCCACCCATGGATACTGAGAGCTCTAATTTTAAAATATATCCTCCATACATCCATTTCTTTCTTCTGAGCTGCTCCCTCATCACACTAGCCTCCAAGCTGGTCTCCTAGTTTTCTCTCAGGCTCTTCTACTATCTATTCTTCATACAGGAACTAGAAGAATCATTTGCAAACATAAATCAGAACCATATTACTCTCTCATTTAAATCCCTCCTGTAGCTTCCTGCAGCACTCGAAATAAAAACTGAATGCTTTACAAGCCTACAAGGCTCTGCATGACCAGGATCCTATCCATCTTTCCAACCCCAAGTCACATTATTTGTCCTCTATATCATCAGGCTTTGGCCATCATTGTCACTTTCCTGACCCTAGAAGACACCAGGCTTGTTCCAGTCCTTAAACATTTTGTTTCCTTTACCTTGAACATTCTGCCCCCAGAACTCTGCAGTCTAAATTGATCACCAGCCTGTCCTCTCAACCATTCATATCACACAGTTTTACTTCAGATCACTTATCTCTATCTTGATCATCTATTTACTTATTTATTGACAATCACACCTAGAGTGTCCTTGACGTGCAAAACTAACTTGCCAGTTTTGTTCACTGCTGTTTCTCTAATACCTATGATAATTCCTGGCATATAGAAGGAGCTGAATAAATGACTTGAATAAATGAATGAATAAGTGATCTCAATTGATATCCCCACAGCATTACTAAGCAGGCAATAAAAGTATGATTATCCTCACTTTCTACAAAGGGAAATTGAGGTTCAAGACTATTCAATGACTTTCCTAAAAGTCACATAGCAACTTAGGGGCAAGGTCAGACTGCAATCTTTAGGCTTTAAGTTCAGCATTATAGTTGTTATACCATGATGCTAAAATGTGGTTAGTTTTAAACCACTTCAAATAATTTTTAAAAATCATTAAATCCTTTTAACAAACATGGCAACATTTTTAATGGGAGAAAAGATTCTAATAAAAATCTATTGCTCTATTTACAACAGTCAGGACATGGAAACAACCTAAGTGTCCATAGACAGATGAATGGATAAAGATGTGGCACATACATACAATGGAATATTACTCAGCCATAAAATGAAACAAAATTGAATTATTTGTAGTGAGGTGGATGGACCTAGAGACTGTCATATAGAGTGAAGTAAGTCAGAAAGAGAAAAACAAATACCGTACACTAACACATACATATGGAATTGAAAAAAAAATGGTTCTGAAGAACCTAGGGGCAGGACAGGAATAAAGATGCAGACGTAGAGAATGGACTTGAGGACACGGGGAGGGGGAAGGGTAAGCTGGGACGAAGTGAGAGAATGGCATGGACATATATACACTACCAAATGTAAAACAGCTAGCTAGTGGGAAGCAGCCACATAGCACAGGGAGATTAGCTTGGTGTTTTGTGACCACCTAGAGAGGTGAGATAGGGAGGGTGGGAGGGAAACGCAAGAGGGAGGAGATATGGGGATATACGTATATGTATAGCTGATTCACTTTGCTTTACAGCAGAAACTAACACACCATTGTAAAGCAATTATACTCCAATAAAGATGTTAAAAAATAAATTAAAAAATAACATGAAAAAAATCTATTGCTAATTCAATTATCCTATCAAACATAAAACAGAACAAGGGAAAAAGTAAATGTTTGTCCCCTCTATATATTTTTCTTTCCTATGCATTTTAAAAACATATATTATAGTCAGCCAGTATCTGTATACATTTGGTAAGATATAAAACACAAAAGTTAAAGCACCCAATTGACAGCCTACATTACACACATGCACACAGACCTTACATCCTGTAGTGCCTTCCAATTTTCTCCCAACAGAAAATTGTCTCTCCTAGAACCTTATCATTTAGCAAGAGTGTATATTTTAAGATTCTTGTTATAAAATTCTTTAATACAGTTCCTTAGTGAAACACTATCACTTTAAAGAATAATAATAATGTTAAAAGTGTTTTTATTTCCTTATATGACACATAAGCCCTTTTGTGTACAGTTGCCACAGAAATAATAATGTTACTAAAGATACCCCATTAAAAGTGGACCCTTCAAAATATTTAAGCATACCCTTTTAAAAGCCATTCATTGATGGGTGTGATTGACAAAAGCTGAAGAAGAAGCCATATTGCTGCTGGGAAGAATGCAAGTGTAAAGATCTGAATAAAAAGATGTAGTTTTATATGCACCAAAGCACTTGTCAGCTCCTGTGAATATGAAGGACACAAAATAACAAAGGTAAGAAAACTATTCCTGAAGACAGACTGCTACCAAAACAACATCATATGAATTAGGTTTTTTTAAATTGAGATATAATTGACATATAACATTATATTAATTTTAGGTATACAACATGAAGATTCATTGTGTATACTGCAAAATGATCACCACAATAAGTCTAGTTAATATCCATCAATGTGGAGTTATTTCAGAGCTAAAACTTTTACCTATAAGCATATGCATAAGAGACAGACTTTAAGGGAAAAAAAAGTTGTTCATGATAATTATAAAGTATTTTTCTATAAAATTTCTGAAGCATTCTAATTTCTTTCAAATACAGTATACCCCAACGATTCAGATTTGTAAAAGTCTGGAACAGGACTAAGCTAACTACCTTTACACTAGTATAGATTTCAGAATTGTTGACACTGCAAACAAACATGTATGTTTAACTATTTAAAACAAAATCTTGTTTAAAAATTTTGGCAGGACGTAGAATTTTAATTAAATTTGATAATTAACCTCTACTCATTACACCAGACCTAGCAAGGACTCAATTTGGCAAGATGTTACTAAATCTACACACAAATCATAATTTTTAAAAATGTTTTTCCCAACAATATTCTATATTTCAAAAGGGCTTTTTTCCCCCAAATCTACTCACTAGATTTCTTTATTAACAATTACTGAATAGCAGCTCTGTGCCATGCTCTGAGCTTGCCACTTTATGTATGTTATCTCATTTAATCCTGACAACAACCCAGTTAGGAAGATATTATTATCCCTATTGTACTGATGAGGAAATTGAGATCGAGAGTGAAGCCCAGAATCAAACCCATTTCTGGCATTCTATCAAACCCACTCACTCCTGCTTCTCCCACCATGTCACACCGCTGCCCCAGGAGAGAAAAGATTTGCATGAATCATGACACACCAGGCACATATTGTAAGTCTCACAGCTAAAAAGGGATACTCGGTAAACTTTGGGATTTCAATATGTACAAACCAACAAGCGTTTACATTTGAATTTCTTTGAGTTATGTGGTTATTCAGCAAAAATAAAACAAATTCAGAAAGTAGTAGAATATAAAACATGCAGGCAGTCATTAAACACATTCAAAGTTGCCAGAGATTCACTGGTTTATAAACATAGCACTGTCATGTTCCCCACCTCCCTTAGTTCAAGTAAGTCATGAACTAGCCTCAGAGACATTAGCCAAAGTTCATGGTGTAATAAACAGTAGGTTAATGCAAACTCATTCACTGGTCACCACTTTCTGCAATCTGTCTCATCAGTTCCCACCATTAATCTCCCTTCATGTTACACAGCAGTTCCAGTTTAATCACAATACGTCCCTAATGGCATCTATGGAACTTCTGGAAATCTGGGTCTAATGCAGGACAACAGGGAAACACTGTGCAGACTGGAAGCCACACTGGGTCCATGGATCAGAGCTAACATAAAAGGAGTCATCTTTACAATGAACCCGAAATTGCACCCCAGAGAAAACTTGAGCACCAGCAGTTCCAAGAATTCTCAGCAGTCTTGAAACCAAATCTCACGCAAATACACTCAGAGGCATTCTTAAATACCAAATGAATATCAGTGGGTTTTTTATTTTCAAAAAATGAAAATAAAATGATTAGCCAGAAGGCAGTAGCAAAGGCATTTGCATACACTTCTCATAGGAATATAAAACGCTGTAACTGTTCTGAAAAGTAATTTGGGAGAATATCTCAAGGACTATAATAGGATTCATACTCTTGGACCCCGAAATTTTATGTCTAGGCATTTCTCCTAAGGATATAAAAAGTGGTTACAAGCATTTATATATAGAATTGGTTGATAGTCACCTATTACAGTAAAATCTGGAAACAACTTATATGTCCAAAAGTGAGGAAATAACTAAATAACTTAAGGTAGCAACAGAGTGTTAAGAGCTATTAGAAACTATGTTAAAACTGTGTAGACAAGGATGTAGAAGTTCAGGGTCTCTCCCTACTTAACCAACAGGTGTCTCACTGGCACAGCCCACGTAGACCAACCTAGCAACTCATTCCTTCAGGCGGCAAACACTTACCCAGCACCTGTCTCCTTTCTAGGTACTTGGACTATCTCTCACAACTCAAACTTCACATATCATCTGACCCAGCAATCCTACTTCGAGGAATTAATCCTTCATACATATTCCCAAATGTAGGAAATGACGTATTTTTAGGTTATCCTTTGCAGAATGTTTATAATAGCAAAACCCCATAAGCTACCTAAATGCCATTCAAGAGAAGATGAGGAAAATATATCAAGACACATTCAAAAGTGGAATATTTTTCAGCATCCAAAAAGAAACAGGGAGTTTTTTATGTGTTGATATGAAAAAACCTCCAAAATATGTGTTTTGAGTAAAATAAGGTAAGGTGGCAAACGGTATAAAACACCCCAGTTTGACAGGGGCGGGGGGTGATACACATATGTATGTTTTGCATAGAATACCTCCAGAAAGATACACAGAAACTGTTAACATTGGTTGTCTCCAGAGACGAGAACTGAATATTTAGTAGGGGGGTAAAAAGAAGACTTCTCATCGTATATACTTTTGTACCTTTTGATTTATGTTCATAAAAGTAAATAAAATATAAATTATCTTATTTTCAAATATGAAGAAAAAATAAATGAAATATATTACATGGAAAATTACTATTATACACTGTCATGTATTAAAAATAAAATTGTGTGTATGTATGTGTATATTTATGCAAGTATGTGTATACATATATACACATATATACATATATACAATTTTTTAAGTATTTTATTTTTAAAGTAGTCTCTATATAAAAAATGCGTTTAGGGAAAAAAGGGCTAAAATACTCACAAATGTTAACAGCAGTTATTTTTATTCTTTCTAATCTTTCTACATGGGGAAAGACTACTTTTGTAATCATGAAAAAAGTTATAAAAAGTAAAATGTAGTTAGAAAACACTAGTTGATCTGAAAAATGACAGTAGAAACAACTGATATTGTATTAAAATAATGGAACAGTAAAGAACCCAGCAAAATGAATCACAAGGGGCCACTATGTTGGGTCCTCAGGGGCTTCTTAACAACAGGGAAATAACAGACATGAAGTGTTTCCAAGAAAGATTTTCAAGACTGTCACAAAAACCCAGTATTCTATATCTTCTATACCTTCTTTATAGAACCTTAAAGATAAAATAAGCTTGCACTGGAAAAGAAAAAGCAAGTAAACACTATAAAATTCAAAATAGTATTATTCCATACATATCCATGTAGAATGGAGGGCCACATACTCAAATAAATACCATCATGAATAACTGAAGAGTTGATTCCACATGACATCTTATTTATTCACACGTAATACAGGTCGAATCCCATTAAAATAAACTTAAGGAGATACTCCACATACCAGGGCCTCACTGACAGCATCAAGAATCGCTTGAAATCAGAGGCTCTGACTGGGACTTAGAAATATTTTCATTACATACCAATTTCCCTCCTAACCCTTATTTGACCTTTATTGGATTTGCTTTCGGAGAGTCAGCCTCATAGCTCTGGGCTGGAAACAAGCAGCAAGAACCTCAATTTTAGAATTTGCTGTATTTATTTCTAAGCTGATGGGATTTTTCAAAAATGATCTGTTTAGGAAAATAAAGGAAAGCCGGTATATTCTGGCCTAGTGGGGACCCTTTTCACGCCCTGAGTTTCCTGCTCATCTTTGCTTCTGTCCCGAGCCAAGTACAAGTGCACAAGGTGGCAGTGCCTTGTGGCCACAGGTGCTAAACAGGTACTTGTTTAAATGAGATTGGTCTTGTCACAGCCTCTTAAGTAACAAATCCTCTGAAACTGTAGATTTGAAGTTCGCTAAATATGAAATATATTTCGAATGTGACCTTATTTCATGTCACTACAACAAAATTTCAGAAACCACTTCAACAGGTATGTCACAAACTAGAAATCAACAGTCATAAAACCGAAGACTTAGCATTAAATCTTTTCAGCATGAAGTATTAACACAGTCCTTTATAACTTTAATAAATGAACAAAACAAATTCTAGAATACACATCATTACATCAATGTATAAGTAATACTACATGAAATGTTCATTACAAATCAAACTTGAGTGGGGCCGATGTAAATGCTTTCAAATAAACGCAAGTTAATTATAACCTACCGTCTCCTGTGCGCAAAAATGCACTGTTCCAGGACCTAACAGGATATAAAAATAGTCGTCCCAGCTGAAATTAGTTTGTTAACTAGAAAACAAATTGTTACAATCTTGTTATTGAAACAAGATTGTTAACTAGGAAACAAATAACAAGAAGTTCACTACCTCCTAACTTACAACTGTTTGGTTGCCCGGGAAATTAACAGGGCTTAGAGATGGTTTAACATTACAGAATGACGCAATCTAGGGCATCTTAAGTTAAACGGATCTTGAAAATGACTTAATGTTGTATTAGCTTGAAAAGGGCCTTTAATATGGAAGAAGTGGCTTTGATGGCTATTTAGATGCCACAATAAAGCACAGGATCAAGGCATTTCAGCGTTAGATCCCAATTAGCTGGATGATTCTGAAGGTTTCCTAGGTGCTTACAGAAGAATTCGGTCCTTAGAGAAATGCTGGTAAGTATGACCTTCTTCCTTCTTCAACTCCTGCATCCCGCAAAGTTGGCTGCTTGACAGAAGAGCATTAAGCAAGAAGCTAAAGGAGTGAGAGAATCAAATCTTGCCAGATTTCCCATGGCATAAAGAACAGCTGTAGACATTAAGCAGCCACCAGGGGACGTAGTTAGAGCAACGTCCCAAGTAGAGGACTTGGGTAAGGCAGCTGCTGCACAAAGAGCATCAGCAAAGGCCAGCAGGAAGACCTCCAGGGAAGCTCAGTCCAGCGCCACAGGAGTGGCAGCTATCCTTCTGTATCACTGGGTCCCACATTTGAGAACCAGTAGGAGAACTCAGGCGTTGACAGAAAAAGCCTGTGCCCCCTTAAGCACTAATCGTAGTCCTTTATTGCAATATAATTTCCGAAAACTAGAATTCAACATATTTAGGAAAACCTGTTCTATGTCAGTTTTCAAAAGAGCAAGTAATTAGTGAGAATATTTCAAATTCTTGAGACAAAATTTCTCAGACACTACACGGGGATCCCATTTACATCAAAAATGCCCCATTGATAAGATTTATACCAACCTGACAACTACAGAACACATAAATTCAGTAAAACCATGCTTTTTCCACGTCACTACTAGGATGGTCAAAGAAGAAGGTAACTAAATTTGGTCTTCATTCAAAGCACACTTCAAAGAAAATAAACTTAAAATAAATAAAGGCAAGACATAATGCTGAAACAAATTGTACAGCCATTTCTAAAAAAACCCAAAATCCTGACATAGTAAGATTTCCCTATCTACATAAGAATAAGCATCTTAGAATGACAACTTTAGAAACTCAATGTAATTTCTTCAAAAGTAAATAGGTATTTTCTCCTCTTTTTTTCTTCTACTACAATTCAAAAGAGAATCACAAATTCTACTCATTCCTCTCTTGGATGTAAAAATGCCTGGATTTGTTTAATTCTATAAGAATCCCATATTTAGTGACACCTAGATCAGTAAATAACATTACCTGTGTGTCTTCATAATAGACTGTGGCTTAGTATGAAAAATTCCAGAATTTCTCTTAAAACATTTATTAATATGTAACAGATATACCAGCAAAGAATATACTTTTTAAAAAATTAGTTAAAAATTATAACATAACAAGCATCACTTGAGCAGCATAAGTCCTGGAAGCAAAAGATGATCCACAAGTTATGGAAACCTAACTAAACATCAATAACTCCAGTGCGCCTCAGTGCCACTAGAGTGACCACCACAATCTGAGGAAGACCTGAAGTAGATGTTTCAGTTCAGTTGTTGTACTGAAAACATAACCACTATAAACACACCCTTATTCTCCATGCCACCCAGCTATGCAGTATCTATAACATATAGGTACAAAACGCAAGTCCTTTGTTGCAGTCCAAGTTCTCTTCTGTGATAGTGAAGCTTCAGACTGTACCTACACACGGCTTTACAAAAGGAATCTGAAATTTCAAAAGAGTAAGCATGAATTAAATTTTTCTCCCTGCTTCTCATGTGCCCCATAGTTGACAGTACCTCCGTATTTAATGATAATCCACTGTTAAAGAATATTGTTGCGACAGCAATGTAGGAGACAGTTATTTCTGGCATCAGTGGTCCTAAAGAGAGAGAAATGAGTCACTGTTAGATAGGCATTTCCTGTAGATAACGTGACATGAAAGGAGAATCCATTGGAGGAGAATAAACGGTACTTTAAATCTCGGTGTCGCCGCTAGTATACTAATGTCCTGACAGAGTTAAGTGTTTGCTGTGATGCAGCCTAACTCCAGAGGATTTTCCAGATAGGCGAAGACCACGGTTGTCCAGTGCAGCACAGTATCCTCAGAGCAGAAAAATGAAAATAAATGCTGCTCTCACACGAGAGAGCAAATAGGCCACATCCTTCCATATTAGTTCCTCTAATTTTATCTGCCATAGTAAATGTCAGCCCTGCCGACATTTTGATTTCTGAATTCTAGCCACCAGAGTAAGTTCTGGGAAAAAAAAATTTCTGTTGTTTTAAGCCACCCAGTTTGTGGTAATTTATTGTGGCAGCGCTAAGAAATGAACACACTCCCTCAAGCCAAACAACAGGACCACATCATGGTTCCTCCATTGCCTGTAACCCTCCACCATTCCAATAGATACTGCTCAGCAAATAAGACCAAGCCGGGGAAAAATCACTACTCAGTCAGTCAACAAATATTCACTGAGCAACCACAAGGCTACATTTTAGGCATTTGTAGCACATCAGTGAATAAAAGAAACAAAGAGCTCCTCAAACACTGCAATACCTAAGTGTCCTCAACAGATGAATGGATAAAGAAGATGTGGCACATATATACAATGGAGTATTACTCAGCCATAAAAAGAAACGAAACTGAGTTATTTGTAGTGAGGTGGATGGACCTAGAGTCTGTCATACAGAGTGAAGTAAGTCAGAAGGAGAAAAACAAATGCCGTATGCTAACACATATAAGAAAAAAAATATAAGGAAAAAAAAAAAAAGGTCATGAAGAACCTAGGGGTAAGATGGGAATAAAGACATAGACCTACTAGAGCATGGACTTGAGGATATGGAGAGGGGGAAGGGTAAGCTGGGACAAAGAGAGTGGCATGGACATATATACACTACCAAACGCAAAATAGACAGCTAGTGGGAAGCAGCCGCATAGCACAGGGAGATCAGCTCAGTGCTTTGTGACCACCTAGAGGGGTGGGGTAGGGAGGGTGGGAGGGAGGGAGACGCAAAAGGGAAGAGATATGGGAACATATGTATACGTATAACTGATACACTTTGTTATAAAGCAGAAACTAACACACCATTGTAAAGCAATTATACTCCAATAAAGATGTTAAAAAAAATGATAATCAAGTTTGGGGATCTTGAGTTCTATAGTGGAGACTATAGTTAATAATACCATTTTGTATACAGTAGATCTTAAATGTTCTCATTATAACAACAACAAAAAATGGTAATTATATGAGGTGAAGGATGTGTTAACTAACTTGATTGTGGTAATCATTTTGTATATCTAAAATCACATTGTACACCTTAAACTTATTCAATGTTATATGTTAATTATATCTCAATAAAGCCGGAAAAAAGAAAAAAAAATACACTGCAATACATTCTTTTAGATACCTGGCATTTACTCAAATCATTTTGCTATGATCTGAGAAAAGGCAGCAAAAGGGAGAAGGTAGGGGAAGAGGCATTACACTTCAGGGCAGTGAAAGTGGTTCAAAAACTTAAAAAGATGTACATTTTTCCCCCCATACCTGTGAGTGAATCTGTCTCAGCTGCTCACACTTCAAAATAATATTTCCTCAAAAGCTGAGGAAGGTGATTCAGGAGCAGATTTGAATGTCAAGGAATCTGGCTTGTTTTAGTAAATGCCTTCCAGGAATTTTTAATATCCTCTTTGTTTTTTTTCAAACTCATATCCTTTTTCTTTTCCTCCAACCCCTTGCTTTTTGTGAGACCCATTTTTGTCAACTGTGCTGCCATCCACAGTGGTACCCCAGATTCTCTCTATAGGGTGGGTTATAGTTAGCAGTATATTTGCAAGCAAGAGCATTGACTTAGACCACATGTTTCTTTGGGGCAGCTAAAGCATCTACCTTAGTTAGCCAACAACTGGATTTTTTAAGAAGGTAACTCTTCCTACACTCCATGCACATATATATATAAATACACATGGTAGCTATTAACTAACTGGCATAATTCAGTGGAATGATTCCTTACTTTGACTGTCTTAAATCCTAGAGACAGGGTATACTGTTTATTTTTATATTGTTTTTTGTATTAGATGCACATCCAAATAACTAATCCATGAAAGGACCTGGTGAGGCTCTTCCAGGGCTACCTACAATGTACCTTTTTAAAAGGGAAGGAGGAATTAATTCTTATCTGGGGAAACCTAAGGCCCCTTTGAGACAGCTGCTAATGGATCGCCCACGGTGTGAATGCAGAACTAGAAGCAGGCAGGGCTGAAATAAAAAACTGGTAAATATTTGCACAGAGGTGAGAGTTGAAACTACGCTATGAAATGGTATGTGGCCCCTCTCCAAGGTAATGATTATATCCTCCAAGTCATGAAAATAACCAGATTCAGATCTTGGGAAGGCTACAAAGCACAAAGTGGAAATATAAGTTTTAACTCTTCCTTAAACCAAAGCAAAAAAAAAAATGTTTATCAGTGAAAATGGAATGGAGTAGCAACATCAAAAGAAAAATTGGCCGTAAAAAATGAAGCAATTTTGGGACTTCAAACCCACGCTTTTTAATGTGGGAGTGGAGTGTGGGGAAAGAAGATGAGCTGGAATGTTTAGGAATGCAAGGAACTATTACCGTTTCATCAAATCTACTTATCTAGTAAATTTCACTCCTAAACCTAATCTAAGGTATTCATGCTAATATTCTTAAGTGTATACAGTAGCATGTTTCTGGTTATGTTTTCTTAATGCAAAAATGAAGCAATTTCCTTTTTAGGATTTATGTCTTAATTAATGGCAAAAATTTCAGTTAAGATGCAGGTAGAAATGAGACGCTTAATCTGTACTTCCAAAGAAGTAAGCCTTTCTCTTGGAGAATGAATGGCACAGTGTTGAACTCTGGTAAACTCTAAGATGTGCATAGCTCAGGGCTCCCCTGTGTGGAAATGAAACAGAGTATCTACACTTCAGGATCTACAATTTACATCTCCTGTGGTTCTTTACTTTCAACCTTGTATATATTTTAAAATGAAATGTAACTGAGTAAAAAGAACAGGGAACTAAAAATTAAATTTTCCATGCTAGTACCTGTTACACTTTTTCCCATATGGAAAGTCATTCAACTTCTCTCACTTCAGGGTTCCCACCTCTATAAATTTCCTGCCATACATAACTCACCCACTGGCTATAAAGATTGTTTTTTAAGGGAGGGCAGAGCAAAGGTGTGATCCTTTAAGTGTAGAAGTCTTACACTTCAAAATAGAGTCATTAAGGTATTGATCCAGGTAAAGGTGAAGTGAGCATTTATTAAGTTGAAAACAATCAAAACTTTCTACTGAAGAGAAAAGAATGTCTAGAAAACTGTTCGACTGAAAATTGTTCAGTCAATGTGAGCGCATTAAAAATGCACACGCATTCTAGTGTACAGACCCCAAAATGGAACTTCTGACTAAAAGTGACAAGCAAAAAGAGATGCTTTAGATCATTCTGTAGAGCAGAAGAGGACAGACCACTTTCAGCCACCATTACTCTCCTTGTTCCTAGATTTTTGTTGTTTTAACTGATGGGGTCAAAGTGTTATTTGGTACTATTAGGAAGTTTGTTTTTATTGAAGAAGTTTTACAGGTGGGAAGGTCAACTGAAGTACCAAGAACTTAGCCTGACAGCTTATATAAGACAGCTTATATAAGCTTATATAAGAAATCCCAAACAATTGTTTGTTTAACTGTTGTTTTTAGAAACAGTAACTTTTACACTTGGACAGATCTCAAAAAATCACATGAATACACGGTTGTCTAATATTACCCGATTCTGCGCAGCTTCTTTTGGCCTAAAACTCAGGGCATGGAAACCATCTTTATTACAGAGAGCCTTTCTTTATAATGGTTATTCATTTTTAGTGATTTTTGCCAAGAATATTTGGATGGATGTTGCAACTGGTATGACATAAGGGGGAATCCTGGTCCCCAGTCAGTCCTTCCTCTTCCCTAAGCTAGCTAACCTGACCTAGGGTGAGTCACCTGACCTGAGGTCTCAGTATCTTCAGCATGTTAGCTGAAAATAAAGTTCCCTCAGCTCTTAACAGTCTCCTCTTTTATAATTAAACAAACGAACTCTCCTAGATTAATGGCATAGGACTAGTGAAAGTGGGAAACAATATTTCTAAGATACAATAATTCCCAAAACTTCAAGAAGCAGAGTCTGAGGGAACAAATCAGATTACAGAATCCATCTCACACAGGCCACTGTGGGGAAGCCCTAGGGAAATGATTCAGCAATCAACAGCTCTCCTTCCCACTGAGCAGCCCAGGAATAGAAGAGAAAAGGAATTTTACCAAACCTAGTCTCTGCAGGTCTCAACTTAAAGATCACACATCACCTGTGATTTCACCTTAACACTGAGCAAATCAGAGATCTAACCCTAGAAGCTATAAAGTCTGCAAGTGAAGCTAGTGAAATCTATATTCCAGATCACCACAAAGACGCTCTCTAACATTCTTACTACCTGGCTAGCTGCAGGGACAGGGAACTCATGGGACAGTACCTAAATACCAACCTTCACAAGTTTCCCCAAAGCTCACCGAGAAACTATGTCAAATGAGAAACTGGTATCTTCAGCAGGGTAACCCCAAACAGCTTTACTCTCACAGTTACCCACCCTCCACATTTTGTACTAAGTTGAACATAGAAGAACATAAAATAAACCAAAAAGTTTGAATCCCCACTACCTTTGTCCAAAAAATTCCTTTTAAATGTTCTCTGAAGCTACCTCTAAATGGAGGTATTGAGGGTAGAGGGTAGAAGGAACCACTGTTCTCCTGACAGATCATTTCATTCAATTCCGTCATGTTTGAACAAAAAGGTTCAAATAACTTCAAATATCCTCCTGACAGCTTCCTAGCATAAAGATTGTGTGTGCTCACTTCGGTTCTTATCTGTCCTTGCATGAGTAAAACCTGTCAATAAGTGTGAAAACTGCTAAACAAGGTCAAACAGACAATGAACTGAAGAAATTCAATTAATGTTTATGAAAAGTGGGACATGATTGTCTAAGGGTAGGAGGAGGGGGTCGGGGGGCATGAAAAGCTAACGGTATTTCCAGTCGTTTCCACCAATGCCCATCCACACATGACAAGGATCCCACAATTCAGAGATCTGGGTGTGATTTTTAGCCCACCTACATTTCCTTGCCAAAATACACACTACACATGGTCTAACATGGATGGATCTGTTAGACTGCTAAAGGTAGCAATTGAGTCCCGGCAGCACACGGAAGCAGTTGAATGCAACGTGTCAGTCGGTTTGAGTTTGTGGAGCGGCAGGAACTGCAGCAAATCATCACCCTCCAACATGTGGGCCAACAAATCTGAGTTGGAAGAGGAATGGGTGTCCCTTTTTCTTTCCCCACTCCTTTTTTTTTTTTTTTAACATGGGGGAGGGGAGTGTCGGAAACAGACAAGGTAATGGTGTCCACTCCAAGATAGATAAGGAACTCCTGGCAACCTAGCGTCCCTTGGGATAGGATGCTACTTTGAAGGCAAATAAGTTTCATTCTCGGTAACCTCACTCCTTGACACTAAGGATACTCATTGATTGTTCGCGGAAAAGGCAACCTGCGTTCAAATTCCCTCGCCCCGTTCCTAATTATAAATCCTCTCTGGGGCTGGCAAATTAAAAAACCAGCAAGAGGGCCAAAAGACACCTTGGACTGGTCAGTGCCCCTAAGAGAGGCAGACACTCCCCAATTCCGGTCTCCTCTCCTTCCCAAGACTCGCAAATTAGTTCTGAAGTGGGAATCGCAGTGGAGCATATGCAGAGGTGCAGCACTTACCCCCATTCACCCCTATGGACGGCTCCAGCTTTGCTCCGGCGATCGCCAATACTATTCCAATCATGAACCATTCTTTCCTCATTCTCTCCAGTAGCCTCATGTTTGTTAGGGTGGGTGGGTTTTGTTTATTTGTTTGGCTTTTTTTCTTTTTAAGCTGCTATCGCTTAATCCCCGGGGCGTCTCCACACTTTCCACGGTCCCACCTGACATGCAGCAGAGCAAGTCAAATTGCTACTTGTAAATTAAAGACCGGGGGGTTGCTCCCGCTGCTTTGAGGAGGGCTGCGAGTAGTAGTATCCAGTGACAGGAGAGTCTCACTGAGCGCCGCCATCATTACCGTGTGCCTACTAATAGACGCGCATAAGCCACCGCGGCTCCGGCTGCGCCTCCCAGCCCTCTGAAGCGGACGTTTGGGCCAGGCCGACCGGCGCAAGCGATCGAGGAAGGGAATCTGGCCGCCGAGTAGGGCTGACAGACTCGCCACCGTCAAGACCTGTGGAACCTTAGGAATGACAGGGGCGGGGAGTGGCGTGAGGCGCCACAGCCTCCTAGCTCTATCAAGGGTCCGGCTCCAACAAACCTTTAGACACAGCCCCCCGCGCCCCTGGAATACATCCATGGAGAGACTCTTTTTGGCTTCGCCTTGAGCCTGCGGTAAAGGCTAGCGTGCGCTTGGGGCAGGGATTTCTCTGTCGGCAGCTGCGGCGGCGGGGTACAGGTTTTTTTGTTGGTGAGCTTCTTCGAAGCATTACGACGCTTCCTCGACGCCGGCGTTGACGTGTACGCAGGGGGGGGAAGGGGAGGCAGCTCTCGGTCTCCTAGTCCCGGCCGGAGCCTCTGGAGTTAGCCATGCTCATACCCCGGCGCGGGAAAGCGGCACCTCAGTGCGGGTAGCTTTAGCCCCGGAAATGGGTTGAGAATTGAACACCGAGCCGACGCCCACATGCGTAGCAGCGTTGCAGCCCGGGAGGGTGGGCGGTACCCCCAGGTCGGTCATCCGCGCGTGGGCGCTGGGCCCCGACCCCCTTCGCCATCACCAGCCCCAGAGTGGGGACTGCAGAGGTTCAGCCCCCTACCGGGAAGCGGGGACCACATCTTCCTTTGGGGATGGTGGGTGAGTGCTTGAGCTCCCTCCCTACCTCCCAACGAAGCTGACGGGGGCGGGGGGGGGGGGGGGGCGAAGTGGGAGTCTGAGCTGGCGAGTCTGAAGCGTGCACGCTTTCGCTTGACCCTCAGAACTTGCCCCACCCAAGCAGCAGGGCAACTGTGGGAAGGAGATCAGGATACCCAAGGCAAAAGTGGTGAGGGACCAGGAAGAGGCAGGACTCCTGTCTTCCATTGCCCCACGTGCTAGATCCTATCCGTCCCCATTCCTCCCTTGAAGTGTTTTCTGCCAACCAGTGACATTGATAGTTTCATGAATGGACTTCCTACCCACAGACCCTGCAGGAACATCAACTCTTTCCATTTTGCACTTTTGCACCCAAATAAATAAATCAGGCAAATGCTGTGTTACAGTTTACTAAGAACTCAGATCTATTTACAGCAGAATCAAACTCATGGAAATGATTTTTGTTTTGGTGGTTACTTAAAGGGAAAGAATACAGTGCACTGTGAATTCTGTATTAGTTTCCTGTGGATACTGTAACAGATACCTAAAACTGGAGGCCTTTAGAATAATGGAAATTTAGTCTCTCATAGTTCTGGAAGCCAGAAATCCACAATCAACGTGTTGGCAAGGCCACACTAACCCTGGAGGCTCTAAGGAGAGAATCCTTCCTTGTCTCTTACAGCTTCTGGTGGTGGTTGGCATAACTTGGCTTCCTTGGCTTATGGCCACGTCACTCCAGACTTTGCATCTGTCTTCACATTGCCCCCTGCTCTTCTGTGTGTCTCCTATAAAAACATTTGTCATCAGATTTAGGACCCAACCCGATAATCCAGAATGATCTCATTTTAAGATCCTTAACTATATCTGCAAATATCCTTTTACCAAATTAGGTAACTGTACTTTGTTGAATGGTGTCCCCCAAATGTTCATGTCCATCCAGAACCTCAGAATTTGACCTTATTTGGAAATGGAGTCTTGCCCATGTAATTGGTTAAGATGAGCTCATACTGTGTTAAGATGGGTTTAAATCCAATGACTCATGTTCTTATAAGAAGGTCACGTGAAGACACACAAAAGAGACATGAAGAAGAGACCATGTGAAGATGGAAGCAGAGATTGGAGTGATGCGTCTGCAAGCCAGGGAATGCCAAGGGTTCCACTTTGGAACCAACCACCAGAAGCTGGAAAGTTGCGGGAGTGGGGCAACCGGAAGCTGTGGTAAAGGATTTAGATTTTATTAAACACTGTAGGAAGCCACTGAAGGAATTAAAACTAGCTAGTGGAGTCATGTCCAGTTTTGCTGGAGAGATTACCTTAGAGGCAGTCTCTGAACAAATAGTTCAGAAAGAAGTGACTAAGTCAGTGGAGCCGGAAAAGGTAATTAGTATAAGAACTTTTAAGCAGGAAGAATCAAAAATAAATGACCCTTCCCTGGTGGCGCAGTGGTTGAGAGTCCGCCTGCCGATGCAGGGGACACGGGTTCGTGCCCCGGTCCGGGAGGATCCCACATGCCGCGGAGCGGCTGGGCCTGTGAACCATGGCCGCTGAGCCTGCGCGTCTGGAGCCTGTGCTCTGCAAGGGGGAGGCCACAACGGTGAGAGGCCCGCATACCACAAAATAAATAAATAAACAAACAAATAAATAACCAGTTGCCTATAGGGGAGTGGTGACAACGGTGAGAGGCCCGCGTACAACAAAATAAATAAGTAAATAAATAACCAACTGCCTATAGGGGAGTGGCGAAACAGTCTAAAATGACTCCCAGAGTATGTCTGTCAGACACATGCTCGTGCCAGTCACTCAGCCAGGGAAACTTTATATAGTAGATTTGGGGAGGAGATTATAAATTCAGTTTATATCTTGTGTTCAAGGCCATTGGAGCATACAAATAGAGATGTCCAAAGTGGGTAGAATGGATGTTTGAGTTCATGAGTACAGAGTTACTGTAGGTCTGGGATTCTTCAACAATAGATTATGGAAATCATAGGCATTAATGTAGCAAATATTTACTTTTATACTTTGTCACATTGGTTACTCAATCTCTGAATATAGTTCACTTACTTATAATATTTATGAATGTTTACTATGTGCTAAGAATAGGAGTACACCTTGTGATTGAACCTGTCCCATCAGGCTATTGAAAAGATTCAGTGGGATGTTCATTGTATGTACATTGCTTTGCATGGAAAAAATGCTCAGTTATTCATTTATTCCACAAATACTTATTGAGCTCCTACTTTGTGCTAGGCGTTATTCTGTAAATACGGGGGTTACAAGGAAAAGTGAGAGACAAGGTGTCAGCTTTCCTTGTGTGTTCCAATGATGACATAAAAATGAAAATTAACAAGTAGTGATAACTGCCACAATGAAAATAAAACAGGTCGCTTGAGAAAGTAACAAGGAGGCTACTTTGAGTGGTCAGGGAAGGCCTTTCTGAAGGATGCAATTTAAGCAGAGACCCAAATGATGTGGGAACATTCATGATGCTGACATCTGAGAGATCAGCACCTCAGGCAGAGGGAGAACTGGTGAACAACCTTTGTAAATGCCCTAAGGTGGAAATGATCTTGACATGTGTTTTAAGTTTCCTATTGCTGCTGTAACAAATTAACTCAGTGGCTTAAAACGACATAAATTTATTATCTTACAGTTCAGGGGCTCAGAAGTTCAAAATGGCTCTCACTGGGCTAAAAATCAATGTGTCCGCAAGTCTGCATTCCTCTCTGGGTTTCTAGAGGAGAATCTTTCCTCTTCCTGCTGCTAGGGGCTCCCTTCATCTTCAAAGTCCACAACTGCCTATCCAGTCTTTCTCATGAAGAATCATTCTGGCACCGTCTCCTCCCTCCTTCACTTACAGAGACCCTTCTGATTCCAATGTGCATACCCAGATAATCCAAGGTGATGTTCCTATTTAGTTTAATCCTTAATTTAATCACAATAACGAGGTCACAGGTTCTGAGGATTAGCATGTGGTCATCTTTAGGGGCCATTATTCTACCTACTACGGCATGTTAAAGGAAGGAAGGCCAAAGGACTGGAATAGGGCTTCCCTGGTGGCGCAGTGGTTGAGAGTCCACCTGCCGATGCAGGGGACACGGGTTCGTGCCCAGGTCCAGGAAGATCCCACATGCCGCAGAGCGGCTGGGCCCGCGAGCCATGGCCGCTGAGCCTGCACGTCCAGAGCCTGTGCTCCACAACGGGAGAGGCCACAACAGTGAGAGGCCCATGCACCGCAAAAAAAAAAAAAAAAAAAAAAAAGGACTGGAATACAGTGTGCTGGGGAGCGAGAGGAAGCAGGACCAGAGCCTTCAGATCATGTAGGTATTTGTAGACCAGGTAATAAGATTTTATTTAAGTGTGGTGGGAAGCTATAGGAAATTTTCAAGCAAGGAAAAATCGTTCTTAGGTCACTCTGGCTGCTGTGTGGAGGAGGAATTTTAAAGAAGATGGAAAAGGAGATACGAGGCTTTTAGAGTAGTTCAAAGAAGAGATCCTGCTGGCCTGTGCTGGAGAGGCGGTGGTAATGGGGAAGAGAAAAGAGAATCATTTCCAGTTATGTCACAGAGGCAGAGTCAGCATTTGCTGTTGGACTGGATTTAGATGAGTTAGGGAAAGGAATCAGGGATTTATTATTTATTTAGCTAAACCTAAGGTTTAGCTAAATCCACTATTTATTTGGGTGAACGTTGCTATCAGTTTACAAAGATGAAAGAGGGAAGAGCAGATTTAGTAAGGAAAATCTAGATTTATTTTGAGATAATTTTGAGGGGCCTGTTAGAATTTCAGGTGGAGGGAATTCCCTGGCAGTCCAGTTGTTAGGACTCAACCTCCTCACTGCTGGGGCCCTGGGTTCGATCCCTGGTCGGGAACTAAAATTCTATAAGCCACATGGCATGGCCAGAAAAAAAAAAAAGAAAAGGAAAGAAATTCAGGTGGAGGGAGACCAGGCAGTTGACCAAACAGTTCACAGAGGGAGATCAAAGCTAGAGAGAAAAATTTAGGAGTCATAGGCCTGAGTGGTCTTTAAAGCCATGCGACTGGATAAGATTACCCAAAGAGACAGTATGAACAGAAAAAAGTTTAAATAAAGGACTATAAGTCAACTACCACCAACTAGAAATCTCACCCTCTTTCCAGAAATATGGCCCCACTCAACTCAAAGATCTTCAATGGCTTCATATATCCCACAGAATAAAAGTTTAATAAAAAGG